AAAACAAGATGTTTTGTCTCTTTTATTTTAAGGGGGGGGGGGGGAACCGTATTATAAAGTTTCCCCCTCTATTTAAGGCTTCTGTTGTTATTTATGGAAGATGGAGGGATTCTTGAATTTCTGTGAGATAAAGGTGAACTCAGTTTTGCAACTAGGCTGTAACTAATGAGAATATTTAAAGATGTAACTGACTTATGAGATTATTACCAAAATTATTTAAATTTTCAATAAAACACTTCCTTATCGTGTACTTTCTACCTATTTCTCTTTTCTTCTCTCCTACTTAGCTTTCTGGCTGTGCTTGGGCTGTCAAAAACCTATGTGGTTTCAGCACCAACCAATTAATTACCACGAAAGAATTCCACTTTCAATCATTTTCTAAAATCCGCCTTATCTGCGATCTCTCCTATGCCCAGTGCTCTTTTCATAACTCAGGAAATTCCTCAACGCCTGCCAAAGCCTGCCATTCTTTTACGCGGCCAAGCTCCAACTGAATTCTTCAGCTGCAGATTAAGCTTGAAAAATTCTGCACTGAGTTAATGTTTTTTTTTTTAAATCACATTATATGAATGAGCATATAAGCTATTTTAATGATCAATATTAAAAAAAAAAAGACAGTAACAGTTGAGTACTAGTTTAAGTAGGGTACAAAAAAATTGCCTTGTTTCTTGCAGAAACTCTGTCAACCATGAGGAAGTTTTCCACCCGTAAGGATTATTCTCCCTGTGCCACATGGTTGCTAGGCAGCTTTTTCTTTCAACATTTATTATGCTCTGGATGCCACATTCAACAATCTACCTTCACACCAGAGCCAGCTCCTACCCTAAGCCAGAAACTTGTCTCTCTGTGCTGCAGCAAACGGATAGAGCAATGGTTCCCAAATGGTAGCCTATGAGACTACACAGTGCAGCCTGCAAAGGGTCCACAACAACAGCGCATTATTGGCACTATTTTTCCATTTTCAGTGAAAAGCTTCATAACAAAGATGCCTAGTGGTGCCCAGGAAACACTGAAGTTTGTCAACGCTTTGCCACTCTGCTGTAAGTACTCAGGTGAAACGAGTAAGCTGAACACCAAGGGTTCAGAGAAAGCACCGTGGCACCTTGTTACAGACTTTGGATTTACTTTATTTATTCCCATTTTCATGCTGCTCAACCTAGAGTACCAAATACCAGCACAACTCTACTTCGCCACAGCTGCTCCCCTCTGAACTCCGATCTCCCAAGACGTTATCTTCCAAAACTTGTAAACACATGCTGAATTGTTACCATCTGAGTAGTTCCATTTAACCTTGTCCATAAAACTGATCTGCATTTCTAAAAGGGAGAGAAACGTCTGCTAGACTTTTTATTGCTCGCTGACAAAAATTTGGCTCAAATCATAGCATGATCCTTAACAGAACAGATTAAACATACAGTGGCTATAGACAATTTTTTCAATACTTCTTTTTTTTTTTTCCTTTCCATCTTTCAGGGGGGTCTCCTCCCTCCCCACCTCTTTCAAAGATTTTAAAACTTTGGCGTTACAGAAGCTGACAGCTCCATTCAGTGCCTCTGTGTGAGTTCACTCCAAGATATTCTTGGCTCATCTCTCTCCGACATCCATGTCAGCAGCTAGCCAGCCAAATAAGCCTGCTCACAAGTAGTTTCCCTTTTCCTTTTTTGATCAGTGCGGACACTATCACCGTGCAGGCCCATTATCACGAGCATGGGGTCTTTTCAGCCAGGATACGTCCAAGCATTCAGTTTCTTCCTTTGTAACACGTCTAAGAGACAGCCTTCTTATCCATCCCTGTAGCAGACGCTTTATTCAAATGGCTCATGGCTAACACCTAGCTTTCTGTGGTGTCCTCTTTTCTGGCCCTGCAGAGCGCAATCATGCCCAGGCTCTACCAGCTCAGAGCCGTGAAGCTTCGACCACTCTCCTCACCTCTGCTGCCACCACCTCACCGCTCAGTTCCTTCGTTTGCTCCCCCTTCTCTAGGGCGCTCATAGATCATAGATCGTTTGCCATCATTTTCAACAGCCTCACTCTTCCTCTTACCATCAAAAAGCTTCCTTTGGTCCCCTATCACATAGGGCTGCCAGTTTGCATCTGCTGAATTGTCCTTGGAAATGCCTTTCTCTTTTATGGCTTCTGGCATTTAGGAAGAGCTGTCAGTAAATATCACAGATCTACTGGGCCTTTCTTCAACTTGTTCTTTGAAACCAGTTGACAAAACCTCAACAACAAAGGTTAAACAGGCTACCGATGCGCTGAAAGCCACTCCTCTCAAGCTCAGTAACACAACCCCTTCGTTTCCTAATGCTCCCCTTCGTTCAGCATACAAGCCTCTCTTCATTTACAAACTCTTCCGCGCCTGTGCCATCCCTCCATGACGCGTTTGCATGGCACCTAGCACCTTATTACCAGGATTCCCAACCGCTACAACACTACAAATGCATTTGATTCCAGTTCATAACAACGTAAGAGTATAACTCTCTCATAATGAGTCATAATGACTAATTTCCTACCATCCTTCAATGTTGTACAAAGTCAATTGTCTTACCAGGGTCCTGCCCATTCGTCACAGATTCTCAACCTTTCCAGTTCTTTACTGCATTGTTCAAAGTCTTCCTCTCTATTTGGATAGTCCCTCTTGCTCCTGATTACACTATTCTTCCTCTTACCACCAACTACCGACTTCCCACTTAGTAAGAAGGCAAAACAAAGACGAGGCGTAATAATCCTATATCATCCTACATACAATTAAAGACTAGTTTACATTTTCTACACTTGACTAGTAATTTTAGTCACGCACATTTTATGGGCTTGAATGAGACTGGAATTTCACAAGGTACTCGCCATCCGCATTCTGCAGCTATCAAATCAGGAATCCCAGACTTTGAAAATCTAGCCCAATGGTAGCAAACAAAGCGCAAGAACGGCTAAAAAGCCCGACTGCCAAAACACAGACAAATCACAAAGCAATGCAAGGAACAGCTTCCAGAAAGAGTGTAAAAATGATTTGGTATGTATTATTTCCAAGATCCAGTCATGCAAATACACTGCAAGGCCGCTAAGTGTATTTATATTTAAAACTATAGTAAGTGTTTCAAGAGCTAACTAAGAAGCAGGCTGAATGCTGACATGTCAGAGAAGCTTTTAAAATAAGTCAATTTTAAAATTGCAGATTGCAAGAAAGGTGAATCAAAGTTAAATATAGGAACACAAGTATTTGCATGTAGCTCATACTAGAGCCATGACAGCAGCTACAATTGCATCCACAAAAATTATACCTTGCTATATGGTTGTTTGAAAGTGCCCCTGAAACACACTGACAAAATAATGATTGTATTCATATATAAATGTATGATTTAAGAACAGAACACAAACGCTTCTGGCGATGTAAAAAAAAAAAACAAAAAAAAAAAGACGACCTGCAGCCATCGTAACATTAAAATTTCTAGAGATTACTGATTAGAAAGAAAAAATAAATCAGCACACACTGGAAAAAGATAATAGTCAAAGTTACACAGAGGACTGATCTTGCCGTCTTTTCTCTTAGCAAGTCACACCATGTACAAAGGAGATGAATGGATAAAGGACATCTCATGAAATCCTTACTATTCCAAGCAAGTCCCAGTTTTTCCTCCAAGCCTTTGTTCTATCTCCAGATTAAGGAACAGAACAAATTTACTTGGTTTCATTGTTTTGCTCTAGGTATATTAAAAATAACGCATGATGTAAACCCTTCATGGTAGGGTCTCAGCTGCATAACATACATTGATTTTTCTCATAGTAATCTGGTATCATTTCATGAAGTGATTCATTTTCATGGAAGGACCAAAAATCACTCTCTATATAGAGAAAACAAAAATAACTTTCTCTAACAAACATCACGTTATACCTAGGACCTACGCCGTGATATGATCGCAATAGCTTATATTGGATTATCAAATTCAAAGACCCAGTCTCAGTAAGTTTTCTTATTTTTTTTTTTTAGGGTGATGGGGCGACAGTGCAGCAAGTCATAACATTTTCATGCTGTTCTCAGAAAACATACAGATTTCTAACAAACTTTTTGATAGCATGCCATAGATCCCTACTAATTCATTGATCTCCAAGCCTCATCACCAACTTATATGGGCACTACCTCTCACTTGTGGTAACACGGATGACAAATACAGTATTGTGAAATACCTTCTCCATACAACACAGCTGTAAATCAGCTAGAGGGGAACTTCTTTTTCGCTGTCCTGCCTACCCTTTCTGCTGTGTCAAGCGGAGCTACTGCCATAATGGTGCACTTTGTCTCTGCAAGCAGGATTGTCAATTTGACACTGACGTTTACTGTTTGCCATCAAAAGCCCAGAAGAGAAGACTCTCTCTCTGCTCCTGCGTTTCCTGACAACTAATTCTTGGTGGCCGTGGGGAGAGTCTCATTTCAGATCTGCTTCTCCGTTCCCAGATTTGCCACTTGACCCTTCCCTCGGAAGCGTTTACATAGCAGGGAGACCTGCACTAAGATCCGCTTTTTTTCCCTCTTCTTTCTACGAAACATCAAAACCATTTAGAAAGATATTTGGTGGGTAATAAGGGGACACGCTTAATTTTCTTCCTCCTTTTCGTTGTTTTACCTTTTTTAAACACAAGCATTTGTAGACACGGGACTCTATTAAAAAGGGCAAAACATGACAAGATAGGTAGCATCTGTGCTTTGGTTGGAAATACAACCGTTGCTCTAATCCAGCTGGTTCAGTCAACGATCTTAGAGAAGAAGTGATGATACAGTCATCGGAGCAAGCTGTACAAAACCACCGGGATCACAGCCTCTTATTTAGCGATCTCACGCACCCCAGAGCCTGCATCCCTGAGACAGCTTCCTTGCCAGCCGGCGGGCTGACATGTGCGGCAGACACACCTCCTGCCCGGGCGCACGAACCCAGGCGGCCCGTCCAGGGTGTGGTAGCAAAACAGGAAACAGAATTCCTTTAAAAAACATGATGGTACAAAAACGGGTCTCTGCAATCTATTTAGGCGAGTCTTGCAACAGTGCAACAAAAATACTCGCTTTCACGACGCTACAGACCACGAAGGCCGTGACGGCCCAGGGCCTGCCTTCGTTTTTGGCCCCGAGCTCACAGCCAAGCCCGGCTTTTATCCTCTTCCCCGCCACGCACAGCTTCGGGCCGGGTGAGGCGGTATCGCATGCTGCTACAGCTCAGGGTGAAGAAAAGGCGAAGAGGAACGGGCTGCTTGCAGCAGCCGGCATGTTGCAGGCACTTACTGCATAACGCTCCAAGCGCAGGTCACTAGCGACTAACTAGACGGCGCTCCGAAACACCGCCGCGGCCCCCCTGCTCGCGCAGCTAAATCCACCG